TGGCGAACAGACAGAGAGGAAATTCGTCAGTCCATTGATGGAAAGCCTAAGGCATAAAATATCCCTACGCCCTAGATTGCAATCCGGCCCAAGATCCGACCTTACAAGATAAACCCGATGAAGCCTGACCCCTAAACCCTAAACCCTGAACCCTTAACGCCAAATCCTAAACCCCAAACCCTGAACCCTAAACCCTAAACCCGAACAGCTTGGGGTTAAGCAGCCGTGGTCTGTGGCCACTGTAGGCCCGGATGCCGATCGAACTACTGGACTGCATCCCGTCTGGAGCGGGCCCACGGGCATTTCCCAGCGAGGGTTTTGAGGCTAAAAGGGGTTTGGTTTGGGGTTTAGGGTCTGGGGTTTAGGTTTTAGGTTTAAGGTTTCTAGGCTTTAGGCTTTAGGCTTTAGGCTTTAGGCTTTAGGCTTTAGGCTTTAGGCTTTAGGCTTTTGGCTTTTGGCTTTTGGCTTCAGGATTTAGGGTTTGAGGTTGGGATGTTCCCCCTATAATAAGAGTCCTTCATCGGGATTGTAGTACCCCCAGTTATAATCCCTATTAAGGACTGCTAGAATAAGGGGGAAACATCCCAAGTTATAAGGCTTGAAGGTTATAGGGTTTAGGGGCTGTCCCGGTTTAGGAAACCAGACGAGGGGCCCTGAAAACGGGCACTTAAATTTGAACTGAAACCCCAAACCCTAAACCCTAAGCCCCAAACCCCAAACCCCAAACCCTTAACCCCAAACCCCAAACCCAACAACAGGTGAGTTTTCTGAGAAAATGCTCATGCAGCAGTCCCCTTGGGCTACAGGTGTGCACCCATCATGGCCCAAGCGCTATCTACAGTATTTGAAAAGGAGGGTCGTGGGGATTTCGGTAGAGTTACCAGCAGAAAGCTGGACTTAGGCATATTGCCACCTAGGTCTCTAGCAGAAAGGAGACCTCCCTGTAACCAGAAACCCTAAAGCCTATACCCTAAACCCTAAACCCCAAAACCTACACCCCAAACCCCAAACCCTAAACTCTTAACCCTAAACCCCAAACTGGCCCAAACCCTAAACCCTACACCACAAACCCTAAACACTAAACCCTAAACCCGCAGCACTCGTGACATTAAAAAGTTGGGCTGCGGTCACTTGGCTGACTTCTGAACTCTCCAAAACGTTGAACTTTGAGGCTCCTTATTGTAGTTTCTCCCTAAACCCTAAACCCTAAACCCTAAACCCTAAACCCTAAACCCCAAGAAGTTAAAGTCCTAAGAGCCAGCCAGAAGAAAGGCGAGGTCATACCTTCCATCACTGAGTCGAGCCATCGTCGTAGCGAATGCGGCCTCTGCCGGCTGAAGGCGCATGCTTTAAAGGTCCACATCTTAGGGTCTGGGGTTTAGGGTTTAGGGTTTAGGGTTTAGGGTTGAGGCTTTAGGGTAAGGTGAATGCTTCAAAGGCCGAAATTCTGGAGCTAAAGCCGAAACCCCATGGTTTTGGGTTTCGGGTATGGGGTTTGGGGTGTAAGGTTTAGAGCACGAGTCGTGGAGCGACTGAGAGAAAGCACATCAGATGCACCCACAGCTTGCCGTTACTCAGGATTGAAGTAGGCGATAGGGTTTAGGGTTTAGGGTTTAGGGCTTAGGGTTTAGGGTTTAGGGTTTAGGGTTTAGGGTTAGGGGGACCCTTGGGGAAATAGACCCTCTCAATAAGGTCCCTGTTTAAGAAAGAGGGCTTAGAAGGGTTCCCTTATCCTACCTGGATTGAGGGCTTAGGGTTTAGGGTTTAGGGTTTAGGGTTTAGGGTTTAGGGTTTGGGATATCGGGTGAACGTATACGCCCGAATCTAGGGGTTGTTCCTCGGACCCTTAAGGTAGTACCCTTGGGTTTAGGGTTTAGGGCTTGGGGTTTCGGGTTTAGGGTTTAGGGCTTAGGCTCCTTAAGATCCTTAAGGTAGTATGAGGGCCAGATTAGGAGTTTATTGGGTGGGACCTTTAGGGGTACAACGTGACGGTTACGAGTGTTAACCCCTTGACCTAAATCCCTAAACCCTCAACCCCCATAATAAGCCCTACGTCAACTCTACACCCTATAACCTTGCACCCTATACGATTTTTTTTGGGGGGGGTCCTATAATCAGGGCTATCTTGTTTTGGGGTATATGAGGGGTGCCTTTTGTTTATTAGACTGGGACTTCCGGGCAGTGTACGGCTATTCAGGAATCAGAGGCGACATTGAGAATAATTTAAGCCCTGTCTTACATAGACGCAAATGCGTATATGAATTGAAGGAACATAATTGCATAGTTTACATGCGTAAATTGGGTTGTTGCCCTAGTATACAAGCAGTCCTTGAAAAGGATTATAATGGGGGGGGTACTTTTTTTTTACCCTAGAAAGGAGTGTTAGTATAAGGGGGGGCATCCCAATGCTGATGCATGTATATAACTGTCTTGCAAAGAGCCAGCACAACAACGAGAGAGGACTGAACAACACCCTACAGCCTTTACTGGCCAAGAACCTGCAAGGACAGTCCTGAACCAACCCAAAATCCTAAACCCTACACCCCAGACTCCAAACCCTAAACGCCCAACATCAAATCCTGAAACTGCTAGGGCTCAGAAGTTCATGGTTCGGGATTCGGGCTGACAACTCTACGATTAGATACATCCTGAGCTCCAGAACAATCCCAATGCCCCGGCTCCACAAATCAAGACGAGTTGGCTCACGGAGCCCAAGCGGGATCTATCTAGAGCCTTGTCCCACAAATGGAGGAAAATACCCAGTACCCTTCACAACCTTTCCATTCATATCCCAAGCAGCAAGAAGGACAGGAGGTGGACCCATGCGCTTTCGAAAAGGACCAGGCTGTAATGCATTCCTCTCACAGGGGGTCTCCGAACTGCTCGTGAATGAGGGTTGCCGGTTTGGATTCCTCATCTTCCCACTCCTACTGCTACTCCTTCTGCTGCTGCCACTACTAGTACTAGTACTAGTACTAGTAGTACTAGTACCAGTACCAGTACCAGTACCAGTACCAGCACTAGTACTACTACGACGACGATGACGACGACCACTAAAAGCGCTACTGCTACTGCTACTGCTACTGCTACTGCTACTGCTACCGCGAGCGCAGCTACGTCTACGGTTCTGCTACTCCTTCTACTTCTACTTCCATGGTTTGAGGTATTGGCTTGATGTGGATACCCGCTTGAGGGGAGGCTTGGGGTATCCGTGACTATGTGGTACTCGCATCCCTCCTTCTAATCATGAAAGGGTGCAGGGCTGCTATAGGGATTAGGGTTTCGGGTTTCGGGTTTAGGGTTTGGGGTTTAGGGTTTTAGGGGTGTCGGTTTGTAGTCTCGGGTTCAGGGTTTACGGTGTTCCATTCCTTCATCGTATGTCAGTTGGGTTGGGGTCGCGGTCTTCCGGTCTTCCCTGCCTAAACCAGGCTGAGACATGCCTTAAACCGACTTGAACCCCAAACCCTAAACCCTAAACCCTAACCCCTAAACCCTAAACCCCTGAACCCCTAAACCCCTAAACCCCTAAACCCCTAAACCCCTAAACCCCTAAACCCCTAAACCCCTAAACCCCTAAACCCCTAAACCCCTAAACCCCCAAACCCCAAACCCTCTCCCTCAGGCTGAAGCCATGCTGGAGCTGTCCTCGTGGAAGATGTGGCCACAGGGCAAAACCGCAACCTGGCTCCTTGTCCAGCAACAGTCTAAGGGTCCCAAGTGTGGGCCCTGCGGGGTAGGGTTTAGGGTTTAGGGTTTAGGGTTTAGGGTTCAGGGTTCAGGGTTTAGGGTTTAGGGTTCAGGGTTTAGGGTTTAGGGTTTAGGGTTTAGGGGTTTAGGGTTTAGGGGTCCGCCGACCCTGGCGGCGTGTTGGATGGGTTTCTGGAGGTGAAAACCTCCCTTTTTCCCTCCTTACCCCCCTAAACGCGGGGGGGGGGGGGGGGGGGGGGGGGGGGGGGGGCTTTTCCGTGGAGGGCCAGGCCACCCACACCGCGTGTACTCATGGACCATAGGCGGTTTCGCACAGGGCATAGGGGCTTTTTGGGGAAAAAACCCACCCCCCCCCGCCCCCTTCCCCTCCCCACTAAAAACTTAACCTGCACCCTGAACCCTAAACCCTAGGCCCTCCCACCCTTAACCCTAAGCCTGTGGTCGTTGGGCTGTCCTCGGTTTAGGCTTTCGGGGTTTAGGGTTCCGGTTTCGGTTTAGGCTTTACTTTGGGGTTTAGGGTTCGGCTTTAGGGCTGAGGCTTTAGGGTTTAGGCTGTAGGGTTTAGGGTTTCGGCTGCAGGGTTTAGGGTCGGGTTTGGGTTTAGGGTTTGGCGCCGGGGCGCGCTGCGCCGCTTCAGCCCTGAACAATGCTCCGGCGGGGTCGGCGGCTTGAGCCGGAGGCTCTTAAATTTAGGGTTTAGGGTTTAGGGTTGAGGGTTTAGGGTTTGCGGCAGTTTCGGGTTTAGGCTTCCAAGAATGGGCCCTGAATTTGGGTCCCTTGTTGTTTTAACCCTTACATACACTCCACACAATAAGGGCCACTCCGGGCCCATGGTTCCACCCTAAACCCTAAACCCTAAACCCTAAACCCTAAACCCTAAACCCTAAACCCTAAACCTTAAACCCTAAACCCTTAGCTTCACTGGTGTTTGAAGGGTTTGGCAAAGAAGCTCCCCACAAATCCATCCGCAGGTACTCGGCAACCAGGACACAACACGTTAGGGCTTAGGGTTTAGGGTTTAGGGTTTAGGGTTTAGGGTTTAGGGTTTAGGGTTTAGGGTTTAGGGTTTAGGGTCTCACAAGCCTGCCTTCTTTCCTCCCTGTGCCACAAACCACCCCTTCGGAGGGAATTTAACGTTTGGGGGTTTGACAGGACAGGACCCTCGAAACATCCCTACCACGGTTTAGGGATGCGGTGGAGGAGGGAGTTCCCTGGCAGGGTACCTTGTACAAGGCCTTTTTTAAAGGGCATGTAAAGGGGGGCAACATTAGCCACGTGAAGCTGTCCCGTATTCAGACCTCAACCAAACCCTCAGCCCCTTGCAGGCAAGAGGGGCACCTCGGCTGCAGCTCATCCAGGCAGCAGAGGCAGGTCTTGTGGCGCACGACCTCGACCGATGGGATGGAGACCTCAGACCGTCTCAGCTTGAGGGCTTGTTGCAAGTTCGGGGAGCAGAAAACTGTAGGTAAAAAGAGTCTCAGACCCTAAACCCTAAACCCTACACCCGAATCCCTAAACCCGAAGCCCTCAACAGTATACACGAAGCCCTGAACCCTAGGTAGACGCTGTATAGGGTCTAGCTTTTACGGTTTAGGCGGGTAGTGCCGAGTGCGATAGCAGGTGGGCCGAAGGGTGTGCCTCATTATTCCACTCTGCGTTAAAGGGTCTGTTTAGGGTTTAGGGTCTAGGGTTTAGGCTTTAGGATTTAGGGTAGTATAAAGCCCAATCAAGGGCTCAAGAACCGGCAGCTGTAAGGATGTAAGGAACCCAGCCCTCAAGCCAACATCACGCCTGTAAGCCAAACAGTGCCCCAAACGAGCTCTCGAACAAAAAAACGCTAACCCTAGCATGCCTGAAGCCCGAAGCCCTGACTCCCTATGCAGCCTACTTAAGCTCTACGACGCCAGCCCCACATTCACCCTAACCCCCCCCCCCTCAAGTCCTACCCTGGGGCTCCAAGTATACAAATGATACCTACATTGGGGAAATCTGCAACTAGTACCCACTTTCGGCTCTTTGGAGCCTCAAGTCCTAAGCCCCTAGTGCCAAAGCCCAGCAGCTGGCGGGGAACGGGCCCATTGCTGGGAGGATTGGTTAGCGTTGGCCGCAATGTAGCGGAACTCTAGTCGCTGCTCCAGTGCCTCCAGCGTTCCCACGGCCTTTGCTGTCAGGAGGGTGTAATTGAGGGGCCTTTATAATTAGAACTGGTGTTGTTGTTTTTTTTAGAGGAGGGGGGGGGGGTGGTATTGTAGTGTATTTATATAAGGGGACCATAAGGGACCACTATTCGTCATTAGGGGCGTATGCTAATATATATATATATATACATATATACATATATATGTGAGGGGACTACAAGGGAGGACTATTTTGTCATTGTTCCGACCCCTTTTTCTTAGGGTTTAGGAGCCGCCTGGGGGCGGGGAGGAGTCGAGGGTTTGGGCTCTTGGGTCTTCGAATCCCAGTTTAGGGTTTGGGGTTTAGGGTTTAGGGTTTGGGGTTTAGGGTTTAGGGTTTAGGGTTCAGGGCCAGGGTTGACGGTTTAGGGTTTAGGAGTACCCAGAGACTCCAGAACCCCATTGATTCAGGAACATCAGCCACATGTGTCACATGCGAAGGAGAGCACAGGGTTTAGGCTTTGGGCCCTAAACACTCAACCCTAAACGTTTTTTTTGTTACTCTATCAGACCCGAAACCCTAAACACTAAACCCTAAACCCTAAACCCTAGGTTAGATTGGAAAGCATGACCCCCGAAAGAGGGGCCCTACCCAAGTATGAGGTTTTTGGGTTTAGGGTTTATGGTGTATGGGTTTTTAGGGTTTAGGGTTGAAGCTTTAGGGGACCCTACTCAAGTATAGGATAAAAAAATATACAATTCGCCCAGTTGGACCCTCAAACCTACGGTTTAGGTTTTCGGGTCGAGTCTCGCAGTGCAAGCAGGGGATAGGATTAGGGGGACCCTTGGGGATAAAGACCCTCTGAATAAGGTCCCTGTTTAAGAGAGCCAGAAGAGGGTTCAGAAGGGGTTCCCTTTTAAGGGTCCATCCTAAACCCCCAAACCCTACACCCTAAACCCTAAACCCTAGACCCTAAACTCCTTATCCTACCTAGGAGCAAGCAAGCAGCCCAGAGGAACTTTCCGACAGGCCCCGCATGGACTGCAGCTCGCGTAAGCGGTTCCCGGTACCTTCTTGGGCAGAACACTTGGGGCTCAGGGGGCTCAGGGGGCTTCAGGGGTTCAGTTTAGGGGGTTTAGGGGGTTTAGGGGGTTTCAGGGGGTTTAGGGTTTTAGGGGTTAAACCCTAAACCCTAAACCCTAAACCCTAAACCCTAAACCCTAAACCCTAAAACGGCTTTTAGATGGCTTTTAGATGGCTTTAGGTGGGTTTAGATGGCTCTAGGGTTTGCCTCCCCCAAATAAGACCCCTGAGTCGAAGGGACAGGCATGACAGCGCCGCCAAGGCCGCGAAGGAGATGACGAGGAGGATCATCAGGTCGAACCACCCTCAGGGGTTTAGGGTTTAGGGTTTAGGGTTTAGGGTTTAGGGTTTAGGGTTTAGGGTTTAGGGTATAGGGTTTAGGGTTTAGGGTATAGGGTTTAGGGTTTAGGGTTTAGATTGGAGCAGTGTAGGCTACAGGGGTATAGAGGGTCTTGGAGGGTATAGAGGGTAGGGAGGGTATTGAGGGTATAGAGGGTACAGAGGATACAGAGGGTATAGAGGGTATAAAGGTATAGAGGGTGTAGAGGGCACAGAGGGTTTCGAGGGTGTATAGGGGCCTCGGGATTTTGGGGGTACATGGGGCTCAGGGAGGCACTGTAGTTGTGACTAGGGCTATAAGTACCCGAAACATGAAGGTCACAACCAGCTCTTCGTACAAGCCCTACTTAAAAGCTTGCCTTACATCTGGGTTGACAAGTGCCGAAAACCCTGAGGTCACAACCAGCCCTAAACCCTAAACGCTAAACCCTAAACCCTAAACTCCAAACCCTAAACCCTATACCCTAAACCCTAAACCCTAAACCATACTGTACTTATAAGCCCTATGTCATAGCTGCCCAAGAGGCTCCTAGTAGTTTAAGGCTGCGGGCCTTGATTTACGCAAGGCTCAAAGCCCTAAGCCCCAAGCCCGGAAACTTTTTCGTCAACCTCTTGGGTTTAGGGTTTAGGGTTGAGTTTAGGTGGTTTGGGGTTTAGGGCGAGTCTTATGAAAATATGGAACCCTAAACCCTAAACCCTAAACCCTAAACCCTAAACCCTAAACCCTAAACCCTAAACCCTAAACCCTAAACCCTAAACCCTCTAGGCTGTCCGACCTGTCTGATTGACCGTCAGCACGAAGAAGGTGGCCATCAGCGAGATGAAGATGGTAAGTAGCGCCGTGACCTCGGATGGCCACCCTAAACCCTAAACCCTAAACCCTAAACCCTAAACCCTAAACCCTAAACCCTAAACCCTAAACCCTAAACCCTTTGGGTCCCTGTGAAGATTCTAGGGTTTAGGGTTTTGGGCTAGGGTTTAAGGCTAGGATGGCCCTGCTTGTGATCCTCTGACAAAATTAAAGATTCTAGGGTTTAGGGTTTAAGGTTTTTAGGGTTTAGGGTTTAGGGGCTAGGGTTGAACATGATCCTCCTACACCCCCTAGGTGAAAATGTAAAAGGCCCCCAGGGGCCTACCGAGTGACGAGGACACGCCGGAGCTTCGTGCAGGTGCTCTGCATGATGAAGTCGGGCCAGAACAGCTGGGTTTCCCCGAGCCACTGCAGGAAGCGCATGGTTTAGGGTTTAGGGTTTAGGGTTGAGGGTTTACGGTTTAGGGTTTAGGGAGTCGGTAAGCATCGGCTTCCCTCTGGCTCGATCCGGCTTGAGCTTCATGTTTCCCTTGGGCTTGGGTTTTACGGGGTTCAGGGTTTAGGGTTTCTGGGTTTCGGGATTTGGTGATTTTGGGGGGTTCTAGTGGGTTTAGTTGGGATGTTCCCACTTATACAGTCCTTCATAGGGATTCTAATAGGGGGGGGGGGGGGGGTACTATCATCCCTATTTGGGACTGTTAGTATAAAAGGGGAACATCCCTCTTAACCCTAAACCCTAAACCCTAAGGGGGAACATCCCAAGCGTTTAGGGCTTAGGGATTCAGACGCTGGAGTGTTGCTTTGGAGTCTTGTCCGGGAAGTCTTCATGCCACATGCGAGCTATCTTGAACCTCACGCGCAGACGGGGTTTAGGGTTTAGGGTTTAGGGAGTAGGGTTTAGGGTTTGGGGGATCCCTTTTTTATTTTTATTTTATTTTTTTTTTTTTTTGGGGGGGGGGGGGGGGGGTTCTGATCATCATGCAGAACCTTCCAAGCCTTCCTCCCCCCCAAAAAAAACACATTAAGCCCTAAAAACCTAAACCCTAAACCCTGCCAGGGTGCCCGATAGGGTCATCGTAGGTCTACGTAATCTTAGTTGCTGAGTTGATAAACGCCCAAAAAAGTGCACACTTTCAGTTCTATAGGGGATTATGGTATCCCAAAAAGTGTAAAGTGTACTCAAAGTAATAGACCTGCCCCCCCCCCCCCTCCTTACTGCTACCACCCACGCAAGGACCGGGCGAAAGGGGGATCATGCCACGTTGGGCACACCGAAAGCTTGAAACATTTAGGCCCTAGACTACCCTAAGTCCTCAAACCATAAACCCTCAAACCCTCAAACCGTAGACCCGAACCCTAAACCCTAAACCCTGAACCCTAACCTGGGGCGAGGGGTCGCAGCCAAAAGGGCTCAACCTTCAACACGCTAAAGCCTCAAACGGGTTTTGAGGAAATCCGCAGACCCTTGCTAGACCCAAGAGCAACCTACAAATGCAAAGGGTACCTTTGTTGGGAAAAAGGGGTCATATAAGAAGGGGGAGTAAGGGCCTACTTTGGGTCTAGGGTACCCGAACGCGCAGCTCTTCAACCCCAAACCCTGAAACCTAAACCACTTCAAGCCTCCAGCCGGGTTTAGGGTTTAGGGTTTTTCTCTTGGACCCCTGACGCCCTGTGTCCTTATGCTTCTTCTGCGTTCGAAGCTTGGCCATGTGCGTCAGGTCTTTCTCGGTGCAAAGCTCCCTCGAATCCTGGTGGGCAATTCTAGATGGTTTTTGCGGTTGAGGGCGCACTAAACCCTAAACCCTAAACCCTAAACCCTAAACCCTAAACCCTAAAAAACCTAAACCCTAAACCCTAAACCCTAAACCCTAAACCCTGGCTTGAGGGTGTGGGGGCTCGGGTCTTGAGGTTTAGGGGATACAAGCGGCTGGCGGCCCTGATTGCTTCATACCTCTGGTACTTTTAGGACTCCAAGGCCTTGGGCTTGGCAAGGCCCTAAACCCTACAGGGCTCAGGGTTTCGGGTTTCGGGTTTCGGGTTTCGGGTTTAGGGTTTAGGGAGTCAGGAGTCAGGAGTCAACTCCAAAAAGTTGGAACATCCTTCTCCCCATACCCCAAAAGGTACCGTACATGGAATCCCAGCTCTAATCATCCTCGAACCATGTTCCAACTTTTCTGGGGTATACTGAAAGCCCTAAGGCCTAAACCCTGAACCCTAAACCCTAAATCCTATAAACCCTAAACCTCAAGTGTATTTTTACGGAGCCACGAGTTGGAAACGTAGTACCGAGGCTGAGGGCCGTGCTTAGAGGCCTCATTACCATTTTCCTTGTAGATTTTCCTGTGGGTCTAGGGTTTAGGGTTTAGGCTTAGCTGTGAGAATTTCCGTGCGTTGTCTTGTTTGGGGTTTAGGGTTTAAGATTCAGGGTGTAGTTTGCTTTCTCTCAACACTCAGGTCGTTTTGTGCTTTTACTTGTTCTGTTTGCTTTCATGTTTTTGTTGTTTGTCTGTTTGTCTCTTTTTTTTTGGGGGGGGGAGGAGTGTGTGTGGCCCTTCTTGTAAGGAATTCGATTCTGAACAGACACCTGCCTAGACGCATAAAACTGAGAGGAGCCCTGGTCTAGAACAAACACGCCCTGCCCGAACGCGAGCTGCGTAGAATTGAAAGGCTAAACCTCAAACGCTAAAACCCTGAGTCTTCTAAGCCCTCAGAAGCCAAACTACTAATTTTGTAGGTTACCTAAGATTTTATAAGGGTTTTATAATCAGCGCCTACAAAAACAGCCGAAGACCCCAGCGCTGAGAGGAGTTAGGCTCGACCGACCTTACAGGTCATTACCCAAGAAACCTCTGCACCCTCGGCGCAGCTCCAGCTTAGGTGCCTTTTCGTTTTGGGACTTTAGGATTAGGCATTGGGGTTTAGGGCTGGGGGGGGGGAAGATGAGGGCAAATCTCGGCTGCTCAGCTCTCCGTTTCGGTCCTAGTCGGAAGCCTATGGCATCAACACGAAGCAAAGCAGGATTCGTCGGCTTAGGAGACTTAAGGGGGGGGGGGGGGGTTGAGTGGTCTAGAGGAGGGTGGAGGCTTTAGGGCGCCAGTTGAGTTAAGGCCTCGTCTCGACGAAGCCGGCCCTTGCCCAGATCTACCTCAGGCTGAGGGCTTCTGATCATGGGCTTCCCTACTACCCCGCCTCTATACTACCCCTCCTAGGTTCCCCCCTTAAATGACCTCAATTAAGCTTAACTATCCCTAAATAGCCTAATTCATTCTGGGGGGAAGCTTGCGGGGGTAGTATAGAGCGGGGTAGGGGAGCCGATGATCTTAGGGCTTCGGGTTTGGCGTTTAGGGTTTCAGAGAAACCCTGGAAGCCCTAAACCATAAACCCTAAACCCTAAACCCTAGACCCGTGGGTGTCTTCATAGCTCAAGGCTAAGGCGCTCAAGGCTTCAGGACTTCAGGGCATGAATTGTTTTGAGCGTAGGGCTTAGAGATTTGCTTGGGCTTTCGGGTTGAGTTTGAGGGGTTTAGGATAGGTTTGGGTTTAGGGTTTTGACGTTTACGGTTTTAGGTCTCGGGTTTTGGGGCTCGGGCTTTGGGCAGCCTGGCACAAAGCAAACTCGCAAAGGAGGCTTGAGAATGGAGTCCGGGTCCAAAGCGGTCTAACTGCTCCAGCCAAAGGGGGGGGTTCACCAAAATAGGGAACCCTCAATCTAGATCCCCAAATAGTAGATTATTCGGTCATGAGGACCCCAATAAGGTACCCCTAATTTAGGAAACCCCCGTATGCCCCCAAGCCATCATGTGTTAGGTCTTCGGGCCTAGGGCGTAGGGTCTGGAATCGACATTGCTGGTGGCAGAGGCTCTTGGGCTTAAGGCTACTTCCCTAAACCCTAAACCCGAAACCCTAAACCCTAAACCCTAAGGTCTAAACCCCGAAACCCTAGACCCTAAACCCGAAACCCCTCCTCGGCCGGGTCCCCGGCAGTTCTTCTGCCGCCAGTGCTCAGGGCGAGCTCGGCCTGCTTTCGGTTTCAGGGGTTAGGAGGCTTGAGGTTTAGGGTTTAGGGTTTAGGGCTTAGGGCTTAGGGCTTAGGGCTTAGGTCTTAGGGGGTTTCGGGTTGAGGGTTTAGGGGGTTAAGGGTTTCGGGGTTTAGGGGGTTAAGGGTTTCGGGGTTTAGGGAGTTTAGGGGGTTAGGGTTTTGGGGTTTGGGGGGTTTAGGGGGTTTAGGGAGTTTAGGGGGCTTCGGGATGCGAAAAATGAGGGCTTAGGGTTGAGGGCTTAGGGTACGAATCCTCCCCACAGTAGAGCGACGGGGAAGCCCCAACCCTCGAAAGCATCAACCCCCCCCCAAAATGATGACTTCGCAAAGAAGCCCTTTGGTTAAACTTAGTAGAGAAACTCTCCATGTAGTTACTGTAAGGTTTCGTGCTTAAGGAACACTAACCTCTAAACCCTAGACCCTAAACCCTGAGCCCTAAACCTTCAAGGTGCCTTGCAAATTTAGTACATGCTGGTCACTCCGTGGATTTACGGGGATGTAAAGTACCCCAACATGGGGGTTTCCGAAAGTAGGGGGTGCCCTTTTTGAAGGGCTCCTAAAATAAGAACTATAGTATTTCGGGGTATATTAGACCCTACACTCTAAACCCTAAACCCCAAGACCCTATTTGGGAAATACCCCAACATGTTGAGGCTTATGAGGACAGACCAGCAGGGACCTCTAAGAAGCGACCCTCAAGAACCCCACAAGGCCTAGGGTGTTTAGGGTTTAGGGTTTAGGGTTTAGGGTTTAGGATTTAGAAATACATATATATATATAAGAAATATCTACACAGATAGATGTATACATAAATGCTTAGATATCCAGATGATATTTCACAACGTGTCTTATATAGGTCCCCATGTGATTAGGAATACCCAAAGGGTCCCTTGCATTTCTTCATGCCAAAAATCCATCTTGGGTACTCCCATGTAACCCCCTGCCTGAACAGTCCCCACAAACCCCGCACAACCCCACCTTACCCCACACCCTGCAGTATCCAGCTGTGGAGGGGGGGGGTGCATCCAAGATAATCATACAACTGTATAGAATGAACAATAATGAACCATAATACAATAATGAATTTGAATGAATGTGAACATATATGAACGACTGACCTCGACAAGAAGGGTGGGCTCATCCTCTTGCACTGCTTCCCCGTCACTCTGGAAGGCCCTTGTTGGCAACTTCTCCGGGAGCTCGGAGGCCAGATCCACCCACACGTCAGCAAACCTGACCTTGCGGCATCCAGTGAGCACTTGGAGGTTCATGGGCACTTATAACTCTAACTATAACTGTACTTATAAACCTCCTAAGTCCCCTAAGTAGGTTATAAGTAGACTTATAATTGGGGTTAGAAGTACCCATGAACCTCCAAGCACCTGCAGGCTGAATCGTTTCTGAAGATGCCAGGCGCCGTCTGACTGCTGACAAGAAGGCTCCCCTGGTGAGGCACCTGACCACAAGGCCAGAGTTTGCTCCTCCCCCAAGTACTCCATGGGTGCAGTGCTCAAAGAAGGGGAGGGTCTTCCACGGCACCTCTGGGAGAAGGCCAACGAACAAGGCTTGTGCGCGAGAATTGGCTGTGCACCCATCATAGGCATCCCGGCGGCGCCACCTTTGCTTCGCAAAACCTTCAGAAAACGCTGTAAACACGTGTTTTTGAGCTTGGGAAGCCTTTTGGAACCGAGGAAGAGAGAGCATCATGAGCATCAGCGGCCTCCCCCAGGCCATCCGAAACCTCCTGAAGCACGCCGATTATATGTGCTTGAACGCTTGCGTGCCCGCCAAACCCCCAAAAGCAAGACCCCGAATGCCCTTAAGCGCCTTCGGGGTCCTGCTGTTCGGGTGTTTTGTAGGCACGAAGCCGTTCGAGCGTGTAAAATGAGCGATTTTAGGGGCGTTTTTACGTGGACCCACAAAACACTCGGTATTTACGAGGTTTTCTGCTGTTGGAACCCCCCCCCAAACCGAGCATCATGAGCATCAGCTGGGTCTCTGGGCCGTGGGCCCGGAGGCCCACGAAGCCCACATGAGAAACGATGGCTCGATGATGCCCCGGACCCCCGCGCATCAGCAGCATCAGCAGACCCCCCCCCCCGACGTGGGTTTCGATGATGCGCACTTTGGGGGCGGGTCAAGGGCAACAAGGGTGGGGGTCGGAGGCACGCGTGAAAACCCTCATAAAAACACGGTATTTACGGTGATTTCAGCGTTTTTCAGCGTTTTTTCTTGCCTTGGGTCCGCGGGCCAGGGCTGCTGATGCTCATGATGCTCGCCTGGTTTTGGGCTTCCGGTACCCCCCCCAAACCTTGAAAAACATGGTTTCGGCCTGGCGCGCGCCCCATGTGAAAAGCTAGGGTCGATGATGCGCGCCCGTGAGGGTTTAATGGGGTGCTGCGGGTGTTTTGTGGCCTCGGTTTTTCGTAAAAACCCATGGTTTTTACGAGGTTTTCGTGCTTTTCGCACCACCGCGTGTTGCGTCCCCTTGGATGCCGTTTCGGAGGCCTCCCGAAGGGCCCCGCGCGAATTTGAAGCAATTTTGGGCGGGGTCGGCGGCTCGGGCGCTCGCCCCTTAAAGCTAGCGCTTTAGTGCGACGCGGGCTCCGCCCTGGACCACGGGCGGCGCGGGGGCCGGATTTAAGAGCCTCCGGCTCAAGCCGCCGACCCCGCTGGAGCATAGCTGAAAGGTTTAAACGCGCTCGTCAGCTCAAAGGATGCCAAAAAAGTTGATGTGCTTGAGCCTCTGTGAAACGTTGGGACCCAAACAGGAGCTGAAGCCAGCTTGAAGGCCAGGGCAGCCCCATCAATTGGTAGGGGGGGGGGGGGGGGGGGGGTGGGGGGGGGGGGGGGGGGGGGGGGGGGGGGGGGGGGGGTGTGGGGGGGTTTTTTCCCAAAGGGCCCCTATGTCCTGTGCGAAACCGCCTATGGTCCGTGAGTTTATGCGGTGTGGGTGGCCTGGCCCTCATGGAAAAGCTGCCCGGGTACCCCCCCCTCCCCCCCCCCCCCGCGTTTTGAGGGAAAGAGGGAGGTTTTCACCTCCTTTTCCCATCCAACACGCCGCCAAGGTCGGCAAACCCTAAATCCTAAACCCTAAACCCTAAATCCTAAACCCTAAATCCTAAACCCCCAAAATTCCCCCAATAAAAGTTTTAACTTTTAGCTCCCAGTTTTGCGAGGCGTCTGGCTTGTAGTTTAGGGTTTTTTGTGGACTCTTAGGCTTGTAGTTAGGGTTTATGGAGTTTAGGGTTTGGGAAATGTGGGTCTGAGCGTCCCCCCGGGCGCGCGACCTTCTTTTGCTCCCCCTCAGTGTGGAAGTCCACAATCACAGAGGCGACCTGGATGAGTTACGGCTTCCGAACGAATGAGAGCCTGGTAGCTGCAAGCACGCCCCCTCATTTTCTATAACTCCCTAAACAGAACGTGGTATATGGTGAGTTCTCTCCCTTTTGGGGTCCTTATGTTTAAGGCGGCCACTCCTACTTAGGGTAATTACCACAAAGGGACCCTAGCTTAGAGAAAGTGATCACCTGATATGGATCACAGACCCTTATGAACTGGGTTGTGCTTTAAACCCTTTGAAAATTATTTATGAATAGGTTCCCTAATAAGGAAAGAAGTGAAACTCAAAATTATCCCAAAGCACAACCCAGTGAACCCTAGAACTCGTTCTCCGTGTTCATGCTATCTTCAAGGTTCCATGGTTTCGAGAGCTGCTTGGCTTCTTGAACCCTAAACCCTAAACCCTAAACCCTAAACCCTAAACCCTAAACCCTAAAAACCCTAAACCCTAAACCCTAGGGAGGAAGGGGGCGAAGATGACAAGGTCGAATTGGGAGGGTTTGGGGGGGGAGGTTCATGGGCACTTACAACTCTAATCATAACTGTACTTATAAACCCCCTAAGTCCCCGAAGTAGGTTAGAAGTAGACATTTAATTTGGGTTATAAGTACCCATGAACCTCTAAGTAGGGTTGAGGGAATTAGACTTTCGGCGTTCGGGTTTCCCCAGCCACTATGGATAAAAAAAGAGGCGCCTTTTCTTCTTTTCATGAGGTGGATGAGAGGTCCTAACCGTAATAGGTTTCGAGTATAGGGTTTAGGGTTGGGGTTTTGGGGTTTAGAGTTTAGAGTGGGTTTAGGGATTAGGGTTTACGGGTTAGGGTTTGGGCTTCGGGAATAATGAGTACTACTCCCGGGAGAGGCCAGTGAGTGAAACGGCTTTGGTTCGGCTTCGGCCAAGGACTTTAAAAGAGAAACAAAAACACTTCAAAGGACTAGCCCTAAACCCTAAACCCGAAACCCTAAACCCTAAACCCTAAACCCTAAGGTACGCTTTAGACCCAACCCTAAACTCTAAACCCTTTTGGGGGCTTGGGGCCTAACTTTAGGCATCAAGGCCCCGACATCCCCTGGACTCCGGAGTGTCAACCTTCTAGCCCTGAAATCCCTCACTCCCCTTCTTGAGAGTTTAGGGTTTAGGGTTTAGGGTTTAGGGTTGAGGGTTTAGGGTTCAGGGTTGGGCCCTACTACGAGAATGGAAGCTGCTCGCTGTAGCACTGCAGGAATTGCGGGTGGTGGGCGTTGGGTAGAGGGTTCAAGGTTAAAGGTTCTGGCGTTTGGTCCTTGTTGACCCCAGCTGACCCCAGCCCAATACCCTACTGAAGGCTCATGGGTAGTTCGAGGCTAACCCAAAGTAGCCTACGAATAAAAAGGGCGCCCTTTTTGGTGTAAGATGGCTTATCAGCGAACCTGCCCCTAAAAGAAGGAAATAAGGGGCCTACTCTGGGTTCTAGGAGGTAGGGTTAGAGGCAATGAACCCCTTTTGAGGGCTATGACCGCAAGTTACCCTACTTATCACCCTGCCCATGAACCTTCCGGTACCCCCTAGACCCTAAACCCTAAGCCCTACAAATCCTACAACCCCCAACGAAATTAAAGAAGGATGTAATTACCCCATACACCACAAGCCCAACATCCCCAGTTTTTCAAGGGAGTCATACTCGGACCCCCAAGGATGTACCCCAAAGAGGCTCCCTTAATATGCTGTACCCCATATTTCTGAAAATGTGTTTAGAGGACCCTAAACCCTAAGCCCTAAGCCCTAAGCCCTAAACCCTAAACCCTAAACCCTAAACCCGAAACCCACTAGAGGATCTTTAAAAAAGGGTCCCAAAACCCAATCTCTCAAAGCCTCCCATAGCATGAGCTCCTGGCCCACTCCTTCGGAGCTCTCCTGTTGGGTGCAATCAGCACCTCAACCTCTCAGAAGCCCAAAGGTGGGTTTAGGGTTTAGGGGTTTAGGGGTTTAGGGGTTTAGGGGTTTAGGGGTTAGGGTTTAGGGTTTAGGGGTTTAGGGTTTAGGGGTTTAGGGGTTTAGGTGTTTAGGGGTTTAGGGTTTAGGGTTTAGGGTTTAGGGCTTTGGGAGCCCTGAGGTCTGGAAAAGGCCTGGAATCCTCGAAGGAATGCAAGCGCCGGACGAAACCCATAAGCCCCTTCAACCCTAAACCCTAAACCCTAAACCCTAAACCCGAAAGCACTACTGCATGTTAAACAAAAGCCTCTAAGATTTTGGAAGCTTCTTATGATGAGGCAAGACCTACGACCTGCGTCAGCAAAAGCCCTCTCAACGGCTGAGGCGGTTTCGGGCTTTCGGGGCCAAAACATCTCCAACCCGAAAACTCGAACCCTAAACCCCAAACCCTGAACCCTGAATTGAAACCCTAAACCCTAAACCCTAAACCCTGAAGGCTAAACCCTAAACCCTCACTGAACCCAACAACTCCCACGTCCGCGGCGCACGTGACTTTTCGACCCACGGGCCCGCGCGCGAAGCGGCAAGCGTCTGGAGCACCCACAGCAGGAGCTGCCTGTGACCAGAGGGGAGGCTTTAGGGTATTTGGGTTGAGGGTATGTGGGGTTCCACCCTAAACCCTAAACCCTAAACCCGGTTCAGGGTACTTGAGTTTAGGGTTTCGGTACTTGGGTGTTAGGGCATTCGGGTCTATCGGGTAAACAGCCTTGGTGCGTTTCAAGAGCTGCAGGATTGCAGCTCCCGGCGTTCATGTTTAGGGTTTAGGGTTTAGGGTTTAGGGTTTAGGGCTTAGGGCTTAGGGTTTAGGGCTGTTTTTGGATTTGGTAGTTCGGGTTGTTGACGCAACAAATGATTGGCCCAACTTGAACCGTGATTGTAAGAAGCAATTGCAGCGTAGAGACCCAGCATGGCCCATGGTCAACCCGCACTGAGGGTTTAGGGTTCTTAGGGCTTAGGTCTTAGGGTTTAGGGATTAGGGGATGTTGCCCCTTATACTAATAGTCCTTAATCGGGATTATAGTACCCCCTATTATAGTCCCTATTAAGGACTGTGCGTTGAAGTGGGAGAATCCCAAGCTTAGAGTAACTTAGGTTTCCTAAACCCTGAGCCTGACCCTTACATCTTTCTTCGGAGATCCTGAAACGCCTCGAGGGACTCCAGCTTGCGGGGTTTCAAAGATATTAGGGTTTAGGGTTTAGGGTTTAGGGTTTAGGGTTTAGGGTTTAGGGTTTTAGGGGGGGTTTGGGGTTTACGGGTCGGGGCACTTTTGAGCCTAAGGGTAAGCTTTAGGGCAGGGTCTTGTTAGAATAAGTGACTTCCCGGCCCAATTCCTAAGCAGCCGTACTTCAAACGTTCTCGCAACAACACGTCGCAGAACGATTCAGGGCCTGCATGGAAAAAGGGGCTTCGGGCTTCGGGCTTCGGGCTTCGGGCTTCGGGCTTCGGGCTTCGGGCTTCGGGCTTCGGGCTCGGGGCTTAGGGTTTCTTTAGGGCGTAGGGTTTAGGGCTTAGGGTTTAGGGCTTAGGGTTTAGGATTTAGCGATGCAAAACCCTTAGTTGCTGAGTTCATAAGCCCCCCCCCCAAAAAAAAAAAGTGTACACTTTCAGTTCTGTGAGTGATGATACTATCCCAGACGTGTAAAGTCTACTCACTCAGCTACTAAGAACATATACTATCCGAACACTGCAAAGTGTACTCACTCAGCTACTAAGAACATGAGTTGTGGAGCGCTCTTGCGCCCGGGCAAGAAGTTTGCTTGCTCGTGGCAGCGCCTCTCCGCGTGGGCTCCCCGAGCATGGTGAGCAGCAACGGGAGGAAGCCGGGCGTCCAAAGCCGAGGAGGTCTCCTATGGGCAGAGATTTGGTTTAGGGTTTAGGGCTAGGGTTTAGGGTTTAGGGTTTCGGGTTTAGGGCTTAGGGTTTCGGGTTTTGGGTTTAGGCTTAGGATGTCGGGTGTAGGCTGAGGGTTTAGGGTTAGGGTAAAAGGTCTGGGGTTTAGGGTTTCTGTCTCCCACCCGACGGTCGCACCTTGAAGGTTTACGGGGCCATTAGAGCGAAGCCCTCCAAGAATGTAAGGGGCCATGATTCTGGGAGCCTGGAAACGATTTCAGGCAACGGGCTGTAACCCACAAGAAAGAGAACAAGATCAAACCCTAAACTCTAAGCCCCAAACCCGAAACCCTTGGCGTTCCAAGTTTCTTTAATGAGCTCACCACCCCCCAATTTTCTCCCATGCCGGTTCAAGTATATATGTAAAGGGCTCCAATACAGCCACAAATCCTTGCTTTAAACTCAAGGCGCCTGGGAGGTTTAGCCCGGATGCATATCACGGGCTGCCCTAAACCCGAAACCCTAAACCCTAAACCAAAACCCTGCAGACAGACCCCAAAGCCCTAAACTTCAAGAGGCCCTTAGGACCTAAGACCCGAAGGGCCCCCGAGTCCATAAACCCTAAACCCCAAATCCTAAACCCTGAACCCTAAACCCTAAACCCTAAATCCTAAACCCTAAACCCTAAACCCTAAACCCTAAACGTGGAGGAGCGGGAGCCACCCACCTCCAGTCCTTGCAGTCGGCCCCTCCCCCAG